GATCCGCCCCTTGGGGTAAAAGCAATTGGTTGCAAATGGATCTATAAGAGGAAGAAGGGCCCCGATGGTAAGGTTGAGACCTACAAAGCTCGTCTTGTGGCGAAAGGGTACACTCAGAAATAAGGAATCGATTATGAGGAAACCTTTTCGCCCATGGCCATGCTTAAATCCATTAGGATCCTACTAGCTGTAGCAGCATACCATGACTACGAGATTTGGCAAATGGATGTCAAAACTATGTTCCTGAATGGAGATCTTACTGAAGATATTGATATGCAGCAACCGCAAGGTTTCATAGCTGTAGGTCAGGAACACATGGTATGTAAACTCAATTGATCCATATATGGACTTAAGCAAGCTTCTAGGAGTTGGAACATCCGGTTTGACTTTGAGCAAAATCCGGATGAGCCCTGTGTTTACAGGAAAACCAGTGGGGATAAGGTTACGTTCTTGGTTTTGTATGTAGATGACATTCTACTAATTGGGAATGATGTAGGAATGTTAACTACGGTGAAAGTATGGCTTTCACAGCAATTCTCCATGAAAGATCTTGGAGAAGCCTCCTACATATTAGGTCTTCAACTCTACAGAGATAGATCGAAGAGGATAATAGGATTATCTCAATCTGTTTACATTGACAAAATAGTCAAGAGATACAGCATGGAGAACTCCAAGAAAGGAAATGTTCCTTTTAGGTATGAAGTCACTCTCTCCAAGGGTATGTCTCCCCAGACTCCCGAAGAGATTGAGAGCATGAAAGAGGTTTCCTATGCCTCAGTCATAGGGAGCATCATGTATGCCATGTTGTGCACTCGTCCTAACATTTCTCAGGTAGTGAGTGTGGTAAGCAGATACCAATATAACCCAAGGCAGGAGCATTGGACTGCTGTGAAAAACATACTAAAGTACTTTCGAAGGACAAAAGAGTTTTGTCTGGTGTTCAATGGTAGTTCACTACAGATCCAGGGGTATACTGATGCCGATTTCCAGTCAAATCCAGATGATAGAAAGTCTACATCTAGTTATATCTTCACGATAGGATCGTGTGTTGTTTGCTGGAAAAGCAGCAAACAGGGGTCCATGGCGGATTCCACAACCGAAGCCGAATACATTGTCGTAAGTGAAGCTGCCAAAGAAGTCGTATGGATGAAGAAGTTCATTCAGGAATTAGGAGTAGTTCCATCCAGCACATCACCCATTCCATTGTTGTGTGACAACACTGGAGCCATTGCTCAGGCTAAGGAGCCACAAGCCCACTTGAAGTCGAAGCACATCGAGAGGAAGTACCATGTACTGCGGGAGATAGTTGGAAGAGGGGATGTCTTGATTCAGAAGGTAGCATCAATGGAAAATGTAGAAGACCCATTGACTAAGCCACTGACACAGAAAGTGTTTAAGAAACACATGGAAAGCATGGGACTCCGGCTTATACCCGATTGGACCTAAGTATAAGTGGGAGCTATTAAAGAGTGTATGCCCTTAGCTCTAATCAGAATGATGTACATTATGACATTTAATGTAAATGAATAAAGTACATATTT